ATGATGACGTCATTTTTAGGCTATATATGTGTGTGCCTTCTGTTCAAGACACACACTAATATATACAGATACTTTTATCAAGTATATATCTATTTATGTACACAACCACAAATATGAGAATTTTTTCTTTTCATAGCTAGATAACCATTAGGGAACTGTGTGCGTGTGTACAATGAGGAAACAATTAATGGAAGTCATATTTGATAATAAAATAAAATATTTCAAAAAATAAAATTTGTAACTTATTTCATAAAACAGAAATAAGGAAGTTTAAATTTTCATATGAATAAACTTATATAACTAAGTTGCTTTAGCATTTCATGTCAAGCTAATTACTTTACTTTTACTATTAGAATATTTTTTATAATTATTTTCCTAATATAATTAAGAAAATGTTTAATACAGTGCTCTACGAAAAAAATCGCATAAAATTATAACAGTTCTTCTTCAGATGTAACTTGAAATCGAACGTCTCATAGTATTGTTTAAATATAATGCACAAAAACATAATGCCTAACTGCCTAACTTTGCAGACTACTGAAAAGATTTAAACCCAAACAACAACCTCTAGCGTTTTACAATTTAAACACATCTACTGTCATTGATGCATTGTGAAATGATTATCCACTTCAGTCATTAAAGAACAGGTTGGAAACATATGGTCGATAGTATGTCCGACGTGAACTCTCGAGTCAAAAATTATTTTCGGAAACCACATTTGAGATACGAGAAGGAAAAAGTGCAAAGCATCTCATTACAATACGTACGATAAACACGTACAAATGAGGAGAGGGAAAGAGAAAACATCCCAGACGAGCGGCTGCTACACGATCTTCTCGTCACACAGACATCCCATTCCCTCCACCCCTGAGGATCTGCAGTTGGAGGACAAGGGAGCATTAAAACCACTTGACCAACACAAAGGGAAAGAGGATTCCCCACGCCGCACGTGACTAGAACACCACTTAGAATGTCCGCCACGGCATTCTGCTTATCCTCCTGCTCCCCCCTTACACGTCGAGGTAGTTCAGGTTAAGAGGGTAAGAAACCAAACGTTCTTGTCGAACTAGGATGGTGATGGTAACTGGGCAATGAAAGGAGTAGTGGAGAAGTTTCAAAAGAGATATCATTCGATCGTTATTAAAAAAAATCGCATATACTGCAATGAATATAAATATTAAATCAATATATGCAACTGCATGGAAGAATGCCAGTTCTGATTTCTCAAAGACAGAATTAAGTAGAAGCAAAATACAAGATTGCCAAATTTCGTTAATTAGATAGCAGATGACTAAGCAATCATTATTATAAACATGATATTTAAAATAATGTCGTGCTGTTTGTCTACAAGCCAAGATATTTATCTTAGCTCGTTTTGGAAATTGAAGGAAATAATACAAATACTACAGCGATTTTTTCATAACACTTAATTTTTACATCTAATTTTCATACCTTTCATGTTATCATACAGTATGGGAAATCATATTTTGACGTTTCTCCTTAAGACATGAATCTTTCCTCGTTTTTGAAAATGAGAAATGATATCAATATTATTTCAGTTTCTCGCTATAAGAGCACCATTTAACTAAAACCATTGGTTTTTGGTCAATTTTTCTCATTTTCATTATACAATAAGGTGTATAAAAGCATAATGCGATTCTTTTCGATATGACAAACTTTTTTTGCTGTTTTTGAAAATTAAAAATCGAAATAACACGACTGTTATTTCGATTTCTTTATAATAGTAAGTGCAATGATCGGGCATCTATTTTTTGCATTTTCAGTATAACAGCATACGCCGCTCAGACGGTATAGTGGTTAGGGGAGGTAAACCGCTGAGTTGGCTTCCGACCCAGGTATAGATATATCCATGCAGAATTGGTTACCAACTCGGCGGGAGTCAACCACTAGTACCAGGCCGCAGCCCTGGGCAGCCTGCGATACCGAAGGGCTCGGTTTCAAATCCCTGAGAAGGCATGGATGTAAATTGTCTGTCCCCTTATAGGAGGTAACGGTGGCCTCCTGTTAGGTATTAATAAGATAACCACCATTTCTGACCTTAGTAGTGGCGAAAGCCAAAAATGGCCACAGCCCACAATAATATATATATATATGCATCAGCATGCTGCATAGAAGCATTACATAATGTTTACTCTAATGATCCTTACTTTTGAAAATAAAAAACAAAATAATTGGAATATTATTTCGATCTCGCAATAACTGTTAAAACATTCGGTATTACTTTTCATAATTACAGAATTACCAAAAGAAAAATTATTTCCATTTGTTAATATATAGTTTTTTTAATAAAATCATCTGTATTCTTAATGCAGCATCCACCTTTTTTTAAAGTATACCAATAACAAATCAATAAAAAGTTTTACCAATCAAAAAGAATAATATATAACTTTCTATTAAATTGTCTGGTATAACTATTTTCGGGTTATGCTATTATTTCTCGGAAAAGAACAAAAAGAAAAAAAGTGCATAAATAAAGTGAAGACATAAAGTAAGTTCCAGTCAAATATTCTTATATTACCATTTCAGACAAATTACAAATTCTTATATTACACAACAGTTCATTATGATTAATTTTAATCATATATCTATTCGCAATTTGCTCATTATGCTTTAAGGTCATCTGAAGTCAGTTTCCAGAAATTACCTCATTTATGCTTCCAGTCATGTCAAGTGAAAAAGAAAATTTAAAACACAATTCTTTACTTTTCGTCAAAAAACCTACATTGTAAAGAATGCTTTGCGGGTTTTGTAATGATTTCCTAATTCAGCAAAAGTTTAGATGATTGCGTAGAGGTATGAGGCAAAAGCAGGGGCAACAGACAGATGAAAAATTAATAATAAAACAAATCTACACTATTTCGGACTTTGATAACGGTAATGTGTTCAGAAACCATTTACAGCTGCATTTCATACCTGAATGGTAATGGATCCATTATCATAATTTAGCAAATGCATTTGGAACCTTTCCATTAACTAACTAAACTCTTCGTTTAGTGGTCCTCCCCCTTTTTAACATTAGGAAACTGTAATGACGGCGCAGATATTTGTGTAACACCACACTGTGACTTAATGATAATAGACAATGAGGCACCGTGTAAATCATACGAAAGTTATTAACTTGATTTACATAGTAAATATATATAGAGATATATAGTAAATATAATATTTTAAGAGTGCTGATTATAAAAATCCAAAAAAAAAAAAAAAAAAAAACAGAGTTTAAGATTTTATACCAGTTAACTGGAATGATAACGTGAAAAAATAATTAAACGTGTTTTCAGAAATTAATGTTCATATAAACAAACTAATATTTATTGAGATCTAAAAGCCATTAAATTAAGTATTCTAAAGCTGATGCAGATTACGGAAGCCATTTATAAAAATACTAAATTATAACAAACTTGATTTGATATATATATATGAGAGAGAGAGAGTCTGGATAGATAACTTAAAACCTCTATGTATAAAAACAAACTTTTCATTTCTTAAGAATCAGGAAATAAAAATAATTTTGCGTTTACAGGCGCATTTCACATAAAATACCGTTCTCATAAAGACATTTGAATGAATACAAATTCTTACTATATTTGCTTTGTTTTTATATAAAATTATTGTAAAACACTTTTTGGGAAAGGGATGCCAAAATACAACTAAAAACAGAAAAGATTTAATGATAATCGAATAAAGATCTCATGACAACAAATACAAGCTGTTATGAGATCCAGATGGGGGAAAGAGTTAAGTTTAAGTACTTACAGGAAATAAAACAATCTTTCTGTATAAAACTATACTTTTACACAATTCACTATGTCTGAAAAATAGTCAGCCTTTCTTATTGTAGGATATACAAAGGACTATAAAGAGGATGCACAACTGAGGGATTTCTTCGTAATAATAAATAAATAAGTAAGTAAATAAAAGCCCCTTAAAACAGTGAGGTGGTAAAACTCAAGCTATGTATGGTGCTCAATAATGTATTCAAGAAATTTTTATAAATAAAATAAAATTTTAAATTAAAGGAAAATTTTAAATTTTATGGAAGGCCAATTACATTTGAACAGTGCTATAATATGTTCACTACTCGTGATAAATAGTTCAAACTCAGATAATAAACTAATTAAAATATAAGAAAATAACCATCGCAAATTGAAACATTCTTTTCAATATTTCCATGCAATTAAGACTAGTTTAGATTTAGAGTGAAAGACTCATATGCAGCCAAATGTATCAGAATTGCACTGCTTCATTTAATGAAAGGAAAAGATAAACTATCTGTTTAATTACTCGCATTTCATTAAAAATAATCAAAGAATAATAAGTTTGAAACAGTATACTCACCGGTTCCACGTAAGATGTAAAGCAAAATATTTTAGATTTACAGCTAAGTAAATTCAAATAAATTAAGAGACTGAAGTAATAGAACAAGTATTGAGCATGCAAGTGAAGAATATAATTGCAATATACTAAATTTTAAAAAAATGAAAGAATTTGCATTATAAATTTGCTATAACAGTACTTTAAAAATTATTTGAACTCAGTTTAGTTCATTTTATTAAATGGTAGCAAAACAGCACCTTGCCACTAGGAATTAGTTAAACTTTCAACAAATCGCATCTTTTTCAAAACATTTGCTCTCATTTAGCACCTTCTAGCTAAACGAAAAAAAATTAATTAGAATTTTAAATTTGATATTGCACTCCTGTAACATGTTTCAAATTTAAAATTAAATCTGAATTTATAGAAATATCATTTAAATTTAATTAAATTTCATTCAGAAACAGGGCATCTTTTCCAAATAGAAGTTGACAGCTCAAATTATGATTTTTAGTGTACTAACATCATTGATAACGACAGGAATTGACAGTTAACAGCCATAACAGCGTTGAGATCTGATGACCATTAAAACCATTGCAGAGCTTCATCTGAGTAAGAGGAAGATACAAAAAAGTAACAAAAACAAAAGAACATGCACAAAAGCAAATTACCAAAAAAAGTTTTATTATTTCACAACTTTGGTAGTATTTAGACTAGAAAATATATTATTAAAATAACTTTATATTTGTACATGAAAAATTATACTAACTCTAAAAGCAGAATTAAAAAAAGTCCACATATGCCAAGACATGCAACACGGGAGAACATGAATTCATTAACAAAGTAACATAAATACAAGAATATATTGCAATCAAATAAAATATAGCTTACAAATTAACATGCTTGATTTTGATTTCATTTCTATGCAAGCACAATGTAAATGCATTAAAGATTTAAATTCATAAACAATGAAAGTAATAAATAAAAAATGAAAGGCAGAAGTTTTCATTATTACATCTACTAATTAGTTAAGTGTGCAGCAAAAACCGGATTCCTTGAATGTATTAATTCAAAAATACAATATTATACAAAACTGCAAATTTAAAAATAGTTACACGATAAGAAGAAAAAAATGCGAAAATAATTTTAAATTTGGCATAATACACTTATGTAAGGTTTTGCAAAGCATAAATAACATCTTGATTAAAAGTCATGGTTAAAATAACATCCAAGATGATTAAATCCGTTTTAAAATAACACAGTGATTCAACACTTTTAAAATAGCATAGTAGCATTCGTTTTGATTTTAAATTATTTTGATTTTCGACACCGGAATTTGATTTCCTGTTAAAAATTTCAGTCATGATAACAATGAATAAATAAGTGCAGTTAAACGTGAATTAACATTGAAATTTCTTTTAACAGTTCCACACACTAATTGCACTTTAAAACCAGTTTTTTAAGAGTCCTGATTACAAAAATCCAAAAAACAGAGTTTAAGATTTTATACCAGTTAACTGGAATGATAACGTGAAAAAAATAATTAAACGTGTTTTCAGAAATTAATGTTCATTTAAACAAACTAATATTTATTGAGATCTAAAAGCCATTAAATTAAGTATTCTAAAGATGATGCAGATTACGGAAGACATTTATAAAAATACTAAATTATAACAACTTGATTTTGTTGCACAAATAACTTCTTGTCTATATAAGACAGAAAAGAAAAACAATAATGGTAAGAAAAACTTAAGAGTTTTATAAAAATGAGAGCATATGCAGTTTGTACTCAAAACACATAAAGCGACGGAACACTGAAATGGCACAAATTAATTAAAACATTCTAGAGGCTATATATAACGCATGCTGAAAACAAAATACCTGTATTGCTTTTTTTACTAGCAGTGCTCTGCAGAATGGCGAATGTACAAGTGTAAGAATGATAAGGAAGAAGGTGGGTGATAACGACTAGGAGGGCTAAGGCAAAGAATTTTACATGAAGGACGAATCAGATCTGTGTTTTCTTTAAACAAAAAAATCACATCACTCGGAAAAAAAATAAAGATAGCAAACAACAGCAAGTGCGGCCACAAGTAAACATCTAAGTCATATATGTACAATAGAGGCAACATTCCTTAAAACAATGAAAAAGCGACACTATAACTATTCACTTCAAAGAGATATTCATTTCATTATTTACGTTTCAACAGTGTACAATACTAATTTACCCGTTCAAATACTGTGCAAGAGGAGACAAGATCCTCATATTTTGATTTTATTCTAAAGCATCGAAGATATGCTTTTTATTTCCCACTCAGAAAGTTTTAAAAACAAGATTAACTTACAATTCTTTTTTTTTTCCCTGATTTTCATAATATGATCAACTTTAATGTAATCTGGTGGTCCCACAGACTCCTGAGTGGACACTATAAAAGCAGTTTAATGGCCATCAGACAACGAGATTAATGTATATCAACAAAAGAAATAAAGGGAAAACAGCGTGAAACATGCTCACATATACATTTTAAATGCAAAGCAACTTCAGACTGCGCAGTTATATAACATGTTCATTAAACATTAAGTCTACATTATATTACTATTCAATAAAGGTTAATTACGGCAACAAAAAAAATTTTTTTTTTAATGAAATCATCAAACGGAGGTTGATTTTGTAACAACATAATTTTATTCAAAAAATCTATTATAAGAATTTGGGAAACTTTCGTTAATTCAAAAATAATTCCTTTATCATATTAATTTAAACTTGTAATTTAAAAATAGATCGGAATTAATAATGAAAATAAACAAAAAGTCCCTCTCATTAAGCATCTGAATTATGAACATTAATATTTCTTCAAACTAATTTGAATTTCTCATTTAAAAATAACTCAGAGTTAATGAATACTAATTAAGTTACTTGAATTGCAATATTAATTATGTTCGATAAAATCTTTCATAAGCACAATTAATTGCTTCAACAGTAAAAATAAATTCCATGCTACTGAAACAGATAATGGCAATTATGAATTTTAAAAGGAGAAAATAAAAGAAAATCAGACTAGTTTCAATATTGCACTGATGCTACACAGCTGTCCTGTGCATGTTTCACGCTATCTAGAGAAGGGAGAAATATTTCTTCCTCTTCTTTTTTCATCAAAGTCAGAAATAAAATAAAACAGAACAGAAAGTTTTTTTTTTTCTTTTCGGAGCGGGTTCGAAAAACCTGCAGACAAATACCTCAGAAATAAATAACCACACATCTACATACATCTTGACATCTAAGCTAAGAATAATACAAGATAATATCTTTCATCTTAATAATAAATAGAGTCGAAGCATACATTATTATTGTCTACAATCTTACTCCCTGAATGGATTTGAGAAGGTTTCAAAAAGCTTCTCGTGATTTTGATTGATTAGTGGGACAAGTTTTCCGAACATTGCATTCGGACAGAAAAACAAATTGAAAAAGTCATTTTTACTTCATCTAACCTGAAAAAATCCAGGCTCGGAATAAACATTTATTTGCCCTCTTTTAAGAGGAGAAGGCCCACTTGTTGCAACAAAAATTACCTTACCAGTGAGGGGACTTCGGGCCTCTACATTTTTTTTTGCGCATTTTTTTATTTTTTTTTTTATTTTACCTCGTATTGCAATCATCCATCTTGCTTGGTTTCACAGGCACACATCGATGACGTAATTGCTCACCAGTTCCTCGTCGTCTGAATACCTGGGCGATCTTCTATTTTTCTTCATGGCAACAGTGTACTTTTGTTCTCTCTCTCTTTTTTTATCAATATTATTTTAAAAAGACCCTGAGTAAGAAGGAGGACAGTCACTGAAGAGTTCTAGGTCACATACAAACAAGATCACCCGCAGTCTCAAGTGACGAATACAGCCAGCGGACACTCAGCAAACTGCAAGCAGAGGATAGTATACTTGAGCAAGTCCCTTGTATTTTCAAGCAACCAGATTAGGCCTTCCATGATTAATGACCTTAAGGGACGTTCTTCCCTTTAGGCTCACTAATCTAAATTTTTTTAGTAAATAAAACTGCATGCTACAGTACCGGAGTTCAACCTTTCTGATATGACTTACAATACACTTATACACATAGCAGAACAAATAGTTCAAAAAACTGTCAACCATTTTGATTTTTTTCCCGTGTTGAAGTTTGATTAATCATTTTAAAATCTATATAATAGGTTATTAAAGCAACAACGAATAAAAACATAAATATTACTACAGCAGCTTATGCTTTTCAATTACATTTTGATTTTTCGCTTCAGGGTGGTTCGCGATACTCATCGGGACCTGAACTTCGGGCTCACAGGAAATATTTTACAACGAAGCTAAGCCACGATGAGGCGCGACCATAACATTTATCATTTTTCTTTCTCTCCTCCCGGCCTTCATGCCGGAGTTAGTGTAAAAGCTACAGTCATAGGTTGGGACACTTTCTGGCACACAGGGAGGTAGACTAGCGATGGTACAAACGTACCATTTCGGGTGACTCCGTCACACTCCGGCTGAGCGAGCAGAAACGGTTGCATGATGAAGGAACCAGCAGTAGGAGGGTTTTGAGGCATGGCAAAAGTCATCGGGAGGTGAGGGCTATTGGGGGGCGGTGGCGGCAGACCAGGGGGGAATCCGTCAGGTATTCCTGTCTTCGGCGAAGAAGTGCCAGGTGAAGCAGGTGTCGTCTGTTCAGCGGCGGCAGAAGGTATGTCGGCAGAAGCAGGTTTCTCTTCGCTGGAGGCGCTATCAAACGGCTGCTTTGCTACCGACTCAAGAAGGTCGTTGTGGTGTTGCCTATTGATATGTATTCTCAGCACGTTCCAGGCTCGGGTCAAAAAACCGCAGAATCGGCAACGAAATGGCTTAACGCTCTTCTGAAGCATCGAACCGCCGGTTCGTTTTCCTCCACTATGGGCAGCATGGATGTGGGCTAGGCACAGCTCTCTGCTACGGAATTTTTTGCTACATTTGCTACATCGGTAGCGCTTAATTTTGCTATTTGACTGTCCGAGGTTGCCCCCGACACCTTTGTTATGAAGGCTTAAATCATTTCCTTTCTTGTGAAAATGAGAATTCCAGGGCCTGTTCAAGGATGGAGAAAGATGGTGAGGTGAATGTGAGGTCATAATTAGAGGCTGGGCCATATCCTTCACATTAAGTCCAGCGGCTCGGTGACTTAAGAAGTGACGTTGCAGCGAATGGTTGTATCGATACGCCCTATGGCAGACCCGACAGACGAATTTCTTCTCTCCTTCAGTGTTCACTCCAGTGTGCCTTTTCTCGTGTGCGTAGAGATTGGATAGCCACCTTGTGGAGTAAACGCAAAAGGAACAGTGGTAAATTCGACTGCCACCACCGCCATGAGGCTTCGGGTGAGGTCTCGGATGATTGCCGTTCGGTGGTGCTGCACTGCCTGGTGAAGAAGTACCATTGACCCTCGCCTGTTCCGGGACCATCATCCCCGAGGAGGAGTCGGCCGTTGACGTTTTTATCCCTGAGTTATTTTGGACGACTCCTAGCTCATCAGACGGAGAATGGTGGTCCTTGATCAGGTGAACGTGAAGTGCGACTTTGTCCGGGAATCCCTGCCCGCACAAAACGCATAAGCAGCTGCTATCTATGGGGGTATTACTATTATCAGGCGTTGAAGGAAGAGCATTATGGGAAAAGTTCTCTTTAAGTATGTTGCCATGGTCACTTATCATGTGAGCCTTCAGCCACTTAATGCTTTTGAAACGGCAATTACAGACGGGACAAATTTCTGGATAATGACTGAAGTATCTTCCACTGGGATCGCTTAAATCTAAGCCTTGCAGTGGTTGTTCCTTGTCCAAAAATGTAGGATGATCTCTTAAGTCTTTTCCTTGTGATCCTTCTTCAAATATGCCATGGGTATTTTGTTTGTGAACTTTAAGGAAGTATTTGCTGCACAGTTCTTTTTGGCAAATATCGCACTGCACTCCTCCTATGGTACTTATTCGAGCTGCTTCATGGGGCTGACTATCCAAATTAATGCCGTGCATTTTAAGCATGTGTGTCTTCATAAAGTATTTGTTACATAGTTCTTTATTGCAAATGTTGCAGTAGTTACGACCTGTCAGATTGCGTGGTTTATCTATTGGAACCAAAGCATTAGAAGAAGAATGGTGCAAGCTGGGAATGTGAGCTGTGTGGGCTGCCATCTGCGCGATATTTGTTAAATTTGAGGTAGGCGTACTCGTGGATGATGCAGAGATACTTAAGTTTTGATTTACCACAGACATCGATGATATTTTAGGTACTGACAAATTGCTTGGCAAATGACCAATGTTAGATGCTTGGATAGAGTTTGTATTAGGCGTGAGACTATGACAATGTGGTGCACTGGAGGTAAGCACAGTGTTTCCTGATGAATTAGGCACCACAGCTAAAGAAGGCTGAGATGTAGCAAGAGGTGTGGAAGGACTAGATACTTGGCTCTGCATGGTAATAATGGGACTGGTTGATGTTATAACAGGAATATGAGAAGTAACAGCAGAAAGTGAAGATAAAACTGAGGGTTGACTTGCGGTGCTTAGAGAAGGGGTCATAGCACTGGTGTTAGGCGTCACGCTGCCATTTGTTGACACAGGGACCAGAGCTGTCGATAAGGTGTTATTAACTATAGTCTTTATTTGACACACCTCATCCGCCAGAGATTTTTTTGGAGTCGAACTCATGTCTACTGGAAGTCCATGAATATTCTGCTTATGCGTTTTAAGGAAGTATTTGCTGCAAAATTCCTTTTGACAGATCTCACAATATGCTTCAGAATCTACGGAAGGTGACGCATTAGTGTAATTCAGTCTTTGATAATCGGATGCACATTCTGACAATTTAGATTGAAGACTAAAATCTGAATTACTATGGCCAGTTACATGGCCATCTTCATTAGGAAGCACACCGTGTTCATTCATCATGTGCGCACGCAAAAAGTACTTATTATCGAACTCTAGTCTACATAAATTACATATGATTTTGCTACTCTCAGAACCTGCTGAGGCATTGAGTTCTCTGATCATGCTTTGAAGCTTTTGCAAATCTTGACTAGCTGCATCCTCTTGCAAAGATGTAGGTATGCTATCTGAAATCATTGAAGTTGGAGGAAGTGGAAGAGGCAAATGTGGTTTAATGAATTCATTTTCTTTGTTTTCTTGATTGTGATTTTCGGCGATTGGAGAATTAGGTTTAGATTTGCTCTCTTCTTTGATATAAGGAATGTTATGAGTATAAAACTTATGCATTTTCAACAAATAAAGACTAGAAAATGGCCTATTACAGAAATCACAAGAAAGTTCACCACTTATACCTTCAAATGTTAGACCTGCCTGAGGCTCTTGAAGCAATTCTTCCGGTATGCGATTTTCTTCAAAATTAATTTCACCCTTTTCATTTGATTGACTGCCTTGATTGTGACTAGACGGTGGCAGTGGCCCCAATTGCGATTTACCAGGAGAAATTTCCGGCATGTTTATCCCATGCTTATTCAATTTGTGGGTTCGAAGAAAATACTTATTGCAAAACTCTTTGCAACATAACTCACAAAATGCATCAGCATTGATTACTCCCATTTCTCTTAGCTTCTCAGGGGTAAATACATGCGATACAGAATTTTCATTTGAGGATCCTTGAAGTCCAGGAGACTGAAGGCTCACAGACATGGCACCAGAAGTAACTGGAGGACATATGCTGGAAGATGAATTTGGAACAACTGCAGCCGAAGGCGCAGCAGGAGTACTCGGTTTGTGATTTTGTAGACTAAAGATAGAAGGAAATTCCATCTTAGAAAGTGAAGTATCCCGAATTTCATCTTGACTTTTATCATTGAAACTAGGTGCAGACGTTAAAGAAAGAGCACTGGTAGTCATTACTGGAGAATTGCTTTTGGTATCTTGAGAAGGGGTAGTACTAGGGGACATGTTTTGACCAGGTTCCATAATCCCATGGATTTTTTGACGATGTTTTTTTAGAAAGTATTTATTGCAAAATTCTTTTTGACATATTTCACAATATGATTCCATATTGAAGAGTCCTGTACGAGATGGAAGAGGTTCAGAAGTTGATGTCTGTAGCAAATGAGGTAAAGGAATAGGACTGTTTAAGCTAGGAGATAAAAACGGACCACCATATGGAGAGCTGACAATTGATTCAACTGAGTAAATACCGTGTTTATTAGCTTTATGCGTTTTTAAAAAATACTTGTTGCAAAACTCTTTATTACAGAGTTCACAGTATGCTTCCAAATTAAAAATTCGTACGCCTTGACCGGAATGTGAATTGCCATTGGAAACTGGTGGCGTTTGGCCCTGAGGAATGACTGGAAAAAGGAATGGTGTCATCGGATTAGGGAACATGGAAAGTGGAACCTGGAGATTTCCAGGTTTTGATTCATCACTCCTAGTAAATGGAATGAAAGGTGGCATTGGTGGAAATGGAAAATGTGGATTTTTGTATTCCCTGCTTTCTTGCATTAAACCGTCTGCAGGACTGTTTCTTGTTTGGTCAAGAGGAACAATTTGCTGCATTGCAATATCACTAGCTTTGGATGAGTTTTCTTTGGCTGGCTCGTTGCTCCCTTCCTTGTTATTAACTGAGGTAGTTTTGTTGTATGATTGCTGCTGGAGCTGCCTTTCCAATACTTTCTGCACATGTTCTTCTTCAACGTGAACCCTAAGCAGATCTTCTGTTTCGAACATACTACTACAGTGGTGGCACCTAAGTGCGCATACTTGATTTTCATCTGGCTTAATTTCAGGTTTGGTTTGCAAATCAAGTACTTCATTACTTTGCTCGTCCACAATAGGATTGCAGTCTTCATTCTCTAACAAAGGCATCACCGGCGTAGTCTGGTATCTCAAAGGGTTACTTTGTTTACGTCGTTTCTTTGTTTTAGGCTCTTCCATCGTACTGTTCTCGCAACTAGTTGGAGGGCTTCTGTTTTGATTTTCGCTACTGTTGCCATCTTCGTCACCGGAACAAGTCTGGCTTTCCAGTGGAGGAGAGGCTCGTTCGTTTGAGCCGACATGATGGATAAGCTCAATGGGCTCCATAATATCTGAGCTTATTCTCATACCCATAGACTTCTCAACACTCATACCGTATATATCACAACAGCCTTGTTGCATTTTTATTTTGTTTCATAAGCTTTTATTTCTACGAGTCCAGGAACGCTTCCTCCATTGTCCTTTTAACAAGGAAGTGCATTTTTAAACCTAAAGAAAAAAAAAGAAAAATTGATGTTTAAAAGAAAAATATATTTGAAATAATTGTATACATTTTTCGACAATACATATTTAAAAAAGCCATATGAAAAACAAGGTGAATTTTGAATAAGTCTAAAAAATAATTATGAATCTAAAAAATGCCTTTTCCAAATGCGATATAGAATTCATAAAATGGAGAAAATGATTAAGAGAAATTGTTACTGCATTTTTTCGAGAAAATAAAGAAAAGAAATGTGCCAGTATTTAAGTTAACCTGCGATATGCGAAGATGTACAGTAAATTTAGTAAACACATATACACACGCAGAAAATGCAAAAAATATTACTGAACTATGTTACACAATTATTCGATTATATTTTTTGTAAATCAAATACATTTCAGCCTTAATTTGGCAATAAGCATAGAGAAATGCTACACATACTTTGAGATTTTAAATCAAGGTCTTTTTCTTCGAGAAAAAAGTAAATATTAGTAGTGTTATGTTATCATATTTAGGAATTTAAAGAAACACAATAAGACAAAAGAATATAAATACATGGAAACTTAGCAACTGTCAAGATATAAAACGTTGGGGAAAAATCAAAAGTTGTTTTTAATTTCATTTTACTGCGTTCATTTATGCGCTGAAATTTGGCGATAATGCGCATAGTAGCTTTTTACGTAATGTAATTTAGCTCTGTGAATAATACATGTCAGTGTCAAATTTCTCAAAATGTTTACAATATTTTTCTAAAATAAATCAAACAAAGGCTGAAGTTTAACTAATTCAAATTTCTTTTACCTTTTTATACATATACTTTTATTACTGAAAAGTTGTTAGTGCAAGTAGCATATTTTCAGACATCCGAAAGTTGGTTGCATCAGCTTCAGACATCCGAAATATATACATAACTTTCAGTAGAGACAGAGACGATGGAAATCACATAGCAATGCGTGGTCGAAAAGCCTTTTCTGGTACGGTAGTAGCAACACAAAACACAAGAAAGGAAGAACATGAACAGGATAAAGGAACATGTTTATTATGCTTATACAGCAGAAATCAAGAAATAACAACAAAAACAGAGAACGATCATCATCAAAAGTGTTCGAAATTACGACCCCAGATCCTGATGCAGACCTCACATCTCCGGCACACCGAAGATCTGATGCTCTGGAAAATACCGAGCATGTCTCAAACTTTCCCAACAGCTGCCATAATGCGTAACACAAGTTCTTCGGCGCTTCTAACGAGGGTTTCGTACACCAATATCTTGACGTACCCCCAGAGGAAGTAGCCAATGTAAGTGAGGTCTGGCGATCTTACTGGCCACCGGACCACCCCTGTCGATCCCATGTTGAGGATACTAAGCATAATAAACATATATTCTCACCCTCTTTGTTTGTATCCTTACTTTTCTTATGTTTTCTGTCATCTCTGCCGCGCCACGAAAACCGATTCCGACCATGCACTGTTATGTGTTTTCCATCGTTTAGGTGTACTCTATCTCTCCTGAAGGTTTGTAACGAATTTGCTGAAACACTTTGCATATACTATATATATATTGTTTCAAAAGAATAAATTGAATTTAAATAAATTTACTTTAAATACAAATTTAATTTATTCTTTGCGCCATTGCTGCAAGGAATGAAATTTAAATTTTAACAAACATGTATATACGTAAAAAAGCAAATTTAAAGTTAAAATAATAACTTTCCCTTGATAAGTCTGTCTCCTGCCTGCTCAACAGTCATTCACTTACGCATTTAAAAAAAAATTTTTTAGATTAATTTTAATTCTCTAAATTGATGAATTTATTTTCATGGTTTGGTTTTGCACTTGATTTACTTATGCTATCTGAATTTAAATGATATTGTAGATTAGTTCGAAAATTAAATCTTTTATATGTTTGCATATTTTTTAATTATTTTAACTTTAAATTTGCTTTTTTACGTAATATACATGTTTGTTAAAATTTAAATTTGTTTATATATATATATATATATATATATATATACACACACTTAAGAACGACCGTTATTAGGTAAGATTTTATGCATTTATTTACTTTTTCACTCATTAAGTATGAAAACAACATTTTGTTTCCTGCGACCCGCACTATTGTACTATTGTAACATGCTTGTTTTAGCTTAACTCTTGCAAGTTGGAGTAAACTTTATGAGATTATTTAATTTAAATAAACAGTTATGTTACTGTTTGGAATTTTTATTGTCATTTCTCTCTTTCTGTTTTCCGCCAAAATGGAAATTAGTTCGCGTGTGTTTAAATGAGGATTAGTGATTGCTTAGTCAGAGCGTATTCTGACACGTTACTAGTTTCGGTATTCTATATAAGAGTTACTACCTTTGGTGTTGCGTTACAATAAGGTCTAAAATCTTTTACTATTGTAAAATTGTGATTAAATTTTTGGTGGACTTTAAGCGACTTATCGCTTAATCTAAAAAGAAGTACAGAAACTTGCGAAGGGTGTAAAAGACCCTTTCATTTTAAACTCAATAATATGAACAGAAGGTACTCCTAGTGCTTAGAAATTCGGCCAGCTCTTATGGCGAGAAACTCAACGCAAAAATCCAAATGTAAAACTAGATTAGGATTCGAATAACAACAAAAACAACAAAAACAAAAAAAGAGGGTACTAAAGATTTCAGTTTTCAAATTTCATCTCTTTCAGAATTTGCGGCGCTGAGATATTTGAATGTCCCAGTCTATATGTAACTACAGAATTTTATCAGTCCCAGAAATTTTTGATGCAGAACATAATGTACATATATACTAGAGTTCTGTGACAGATATACGCATTACATAGCCTTAAAAACCTCTTTTTAATAGTTAAAGTGACACTATAAATGTTAATAATCGTTCTAGTAGAATATTATTCAGGAAGTACAGATTATTTTTAAATGGTTCACCTTGTTTCGCTGATTAGCAATACACTTTTACTATACGGAAAATAAACTAAAAAATTATGCCTCGTCAATTGGCAACACCTTTGCATTTTGCTCCGGCAAAATCACTACATTTCGAGAGGAAAAAATAATAAGGCCTGATTTCAGCTGTTAATAAATTCGATCAAGTATACTGTACAAATCTCACAAATCGAATATTATCATTCCGAAAATACTTCTAATACATTTATCATACTTTGGGTATTATTACACACCATATACTTCGACTGCATTTTGAGAAACATTTTTAATCACATAAAAGTTTTACACCAACAGATGTAGTATACTTTCATAACAAAATAAAAACATCATAAAAAACCCTTTGTTTTGTAACTAATGTTAATATTAATTTAATAACAAAAGGTGCAAACATGTCACACACTTGTATATTGATTTAGAATACAAATTTTCAGAAAGTAAGACACCTTTTTTTTTTTAAATAAAACTTACTGTTCTGGATCAATTATTGAAGAATTTAGCAGATCACATGGAACCTATGTACGAAAATATCATACCCACTGATATAAGCCCTCGTATGAATATTTCACAAGGAAGAGTAAATAGTTGAGATAAATAATTATATCAGTAAACCTTTATTTAGTAATTTAAATTCGACGTTTTATAAAGAGATTTTAGAATTCATTATTGCTTCAATACAAAAACATGTACACTAACATATACTATGCATACATCGGATACAGAATCGCAATTTTTATTCGATTCCGATTGGGACCGGGGATGCTTATGCTCATAGAAAATGGTACTATAGTTTAAGCAATGCACTGTAGATGTAATATTCCGTATAAAAGCCAATATGTAGCAGAATTGCTAATTACGCTATTTTGAGGAAGGGAGCTGCACAGTTCCGTGGATTCTATTAAAAACGAATAACTTTTGCGGACGTTACAAAATTAAAGATCGCGAATTACGAATAGAGAAAAAAAGTTGTGCTTCACCGGAACGGTAACGTCATAATGATACTCGAAAAAATTCATATAAATTGAGCTAGTAGAATGTTTAAGACAGATAGCTAGTATTTTTGTGCTTTTTAAAAGTTTAAATTAAATTGCTAACATAGCCAAAAAGGATACGATTAATTTCTGAAGAACCGCTGTTGAATGAAATTTAATAAAATGCGGGAAGAAATACATCTTAGCACGGAACACGGAAAAATTTACGGATTTTTTTTTTTTTTTTTTTTTTTTTTTTTTTTTAAATCTAGCATACGAAAGTAGCCCATGTTTATTTTGTCTTTTCCCAAAGAAATCATTCATATGATGCATTCATCTATTTCCAATGAAATTAGCATTGACTTTAAATTTTCCTAAGACGAAAAATTAAATATATGCACAGTTTACCGCTAGGTTTTATTTCAAGAAAATTCGTCCTCTAGAATTCGGAATATTTACAATTTCTGTTTCGTTTATGTATGGTGGATTTTCAAGAAAAAATATTCGGATTAGAAAAAGAAAATCGATCCCGTTTTTTATTTTCTTGTACGAAGGAAAGGAAGTATTTTAATCGCGAACATTTTCGCGTATTACATTTCAACGAAAATATCCATTTTCACCGCTATCGAATACAATTTAAGGATGTTTTTGCGCGAAATCTGTTAGTAAAGACAGAATAAAGGACTCTTTTTCATAAAACGGGTTGCAAAAAAGATTTAAAAAGGATTTCAGAAGAGATTTTTTTCGTGACGTCTGCACGTATGCATGTATGTATGTATCTCGCATAACTCGAAAACGAGTAGGCTCAGAACGTTGAAATTATATATATCTATATATATATATAGCCACTCTGTTACTCGGCTCCGTGAGCTCATTTTATTTTTATTCTTATATGTTGGTAAATTGTGCATTTTTTGCTTTACAAATGATTGAATTATATTGTTGTTATCTTCCGGTTAAGAATTTTATGCCTTTAGTTACTCTACATGCAAAGTTGTAGAACAATTTAAAAGCTGTTTACGTGCGGATAAACCTAATTATTTTACCACAGCAGCCGTATTTGTTTACATTTGAAACATACTGAAGCAGAATAGT